GACAGCTCATCCCAGTCCCCCCAGCCTCTCCCAACCCCGTCAGCAACTCGTGAGCCCCGTTAGCACAATGCAACGACCCCAGAAATCAACCTCGTTCCACCAATTCACTCTTCTCCAGTGATTACAGGGGCAATAGATGGACTGTTCAGAGACCAGAAGGACCAGATTGAGGATAAAGACCTGGAGAAAACCTATGTGGTCAAAGTCAACACTGACTTGATGTCCATAATCAATCAATCAGTCAGTCAGTCAGTCAGTCAGTCAGTCAGTCAGTCAGCCAGCCAGCCAGCCAGTCAGTCAGTCAATCAATCAACCAATCAAAGAAGGAGTTTGCACAACAGGGGATCTTAGCTGAGAGTTAGCTCAACACCAAACTAGACAGGAAAAAAAACTAACTCTCCTTCGACTGGGTGAATTATCTAGGTTCTGGAATTCACAGAATATGCTAGCCCCCACCCCAGGGTTAACCATCTTGGCAAACATGACAAGCAGTGAAGAGAATCCACATATCCAGCAGCTGAAGCGACGAGCACCAGAAAGAACAGACGATTGCATTTTTAGCAAATGACTCTCCAGCTGAGCTTTTGGATGGCCTGTTGTTATCGGTTACCGTTACTGCATTTCTAGACTGCTCTTCATCCGAGAAGAGCTGCCCAACGCACCCCCCCATATTCAAAAGAATGAAATTCCCCTTCTACAAAACCACAAATCCATTAAGACGCTAAACAACGTCTTTGAAAGCCACAGGAGCACAGGCGCAGGCCAGGTCCCCCGTTTCACACCCTTCCTGCTCTTTGTACACCCCTCTACCTGGGTGGCTGGTGGAGCTGTAGATACTCTCCCGCGGACAGCTTTTCACGGCCCAGTCACCATCCACAAAGAACCGGTGGCCCACGGGGTGGCAGAGCCACTGGAGAGCAGGAGGGACCGTCCCACTGTGGGATAACAGCACTTGTCGGGCGCTGCTGAGGAAGAAACGCTGCGTTGCAGCAAGAAAGGCAGAGTTAGTCCGTGACACGGGGGATCGGCATCCTGGTCAACCTGGCCAGAGGCTCTTTACAAATTTTCTTATGACAAGGAAGGGTTGGCTTGGGGGTGGAAGAAGAAATGGGAAGAACAGGACAGAATTTCAGGGGCTCATACTAGTTCATCTTACTTTCTGACTTTTTTATACAAACTTTTTAGTGTCTGTCATGCCATCCTCTTGCAAGGAATGCCCCAGGGATCACTGGGGAAAAAGGGGGTGCTTCCCATCCTTTTTTTACGGTAGCCCGCATGACCCATTTCCCCCCAAGATCAATACGCGGTCTGGGCCATTCAAGGAATGGGGAGGACGGAGTGGCCGTAAGAGAAGGAAACAAGGAAGGGGGTATGTTGAGGGCACCTGTTGAATGTAATCTCTTTCCTAGCCCCATTTTGCTGCCTGCAACAGGTAAACATGGGGAGCATTTGGGAGTCTGCTACAGGACGACTGGGCTGAAGTCAAAACCCTGGAGAAGATGCAGCCTCTTTTTGACCCTCTCCAGATCCGCTCTTGCACACGCAGACACACTAACCGCTAAGAAGTGGAAACAGTGGTGGAGGCTGGTCTTCACACGCAGCGCAGCAGCCACGTAGACTTCGGCCAGCGTGGCCACCGAGATGGCGTCTCCAGCACACTCGGCCAAGTTGACTGCGCTCAGCGCCATGTTGATGGCGGACAGGTGGCCCGCAACGTGCTTTCCTGGCGAGGAAGAAAGGGGAGCTCGGATGACGCAAAGACGTTGCCGATTGTGTCAGGACGGTGGGGAAAGCCAGCGGCTTCTGCCTCTCGCTTTCAACCTTACCTGTCATGTGAAGCTGGTGCAGCCGGTGGTAGACCAGGGCTGCGTCGCAGGCGCTCTTGCGCACGTCGGCCTTGAGCTCCTGATCCCGGAAGAAGCCACCGGCCCGGCCTGCCAGCCAACGCCCTACCCAGAGTCGCTGGAGGATGTGCCGGATCAAGTTCCACAAGAGACTGCAGGTGAGGTCCAGGTTGGAAGTCGGGAGGGGACGTCCAAGGGCTTTGAGGGCCGTCCACAAGTTCTGGGAGGCCTGTGCAAAGTCCCCCTAAAGTGGGAGAGGGGATTTCGTGAGGCAGCCTAGACTAGGAATTAGGGGCCTGTGGTGGAGCAGTCTCAGTGCAGACCCCCCAGGGGAAAGGGTTGGGAAAAGGGGTCTTTCCACCCAAGCCTTGATGCAAAACAATGGTTCTTTCTAGCCATTTCCCCAATCTCTTGGACTACAACTCCCATCCTTTTAGCCATTATAGCTGACAGATGACAGGACTTGGAGTCCAGCATGTCCACAGGGCTTCAACCAAACCCCGCTTTCATAGCATCCTTTTCCAATTGTATTACACTCGTGTAAAGACTCTCTACAGTTACTTAAGAGTGGTGTTAAGGAACAAGGAGCAACGGCAGATATTCTCAAGATCCGCCCAAACCGTCAGAGGTCAATCTCCCACCTTGTCTTATTTTCGCTGGCTTCCTATTCATTCCTGGGCTTGATTTAAAGCGAGGGTCTTGCCTGAGAAACCCTGCATGGTTTTGAACCCTGGGTCCCTACGTCCTTCCACAGGAAGGAGAAAGCACTTCGCCCAAGTTACTTACCCGAGCCAAGTCGAGGTCAGCCTGTTTGCGGTGCCGCCAGAAGAGGATCGAAGACTCCGAGTGGGGTCGCGTGATGGGCTCGCCGTAAATGAATAGCCGGACGAAGGCAGCAAAAACGATCAGTATATTGATCAACCAGAAGATCAAGTTGGGGAGAAGCCACTGGTACAGAGGAACAGGAGGGTCTGGACACAGAAGCCCAAAATGAGTGAGTAGGTATCTGTCACACCTTTGGAAGCACAAGTACGCTACACCCACTCCAGTGCGGAAGGGGTTAAAAAATGCCTGAAAATCCATAGTGGAAGTCCACACATCTTAAAGTTGCCAAGGTTGAGAAACACTGATGTAAATTATTAGGAGAAGTACCTACAAAAATGCATATGCTTCTCCTAATACTTTACATCAGTGTTTTTCAACCCTGGCAACTTTAAGATGTGTGGACTTCAACTCCGGATTTTCAGGCATTTTTTAACCCCTTCCGCACTGGAGTGGGTGTAGCGTACTTGTGCTTCCAAAGGTGTGACAGATACCTACTCACTCATTTTGGGCTTCTGTGTCCAGACCCTCCTGTTCCTCTGTACCAGTGGCTTCTCCCCAAATTTTTCTTCTTGTTGGTTAATATATTGATCGGTTTTTCTTCCTTTGTTCGGCTTT